TCCTCGACTGCTTCAGGGACACCCAGCTGTGCTTCCCTCCTCGGGACTGACGCTGCAGGTGAAATACCCGAAAGAAAAGAGGGATGGTTGCCCCTATCCTTAAGTAGCGACACGTCAGCTCAAACGCCCGGATGAAGGCGAGAGAGTTTGGGTGTAGCTGGGACGGGGCCAGCTCCAAATGCGTAAAGACCCCGGTCTGAAAATCTGTGAACGGCAGCCGCAGCCCTAAGTCTTTAAACGCGATCTCGTACATCGCAAAGCTGTAGTCCGGGTACATTGAACAAATTCTTGCATTGGTCGACGGAAGCATGACCACGAAATTCTGCTGGAAGTCGGGCTGGTCCTGACCCTCTTCAATAGCGGTGAATGGATGTCGGTCATCCCGACTGTATATCGACGCTGTCCCCCGAGGCTCGACACCCACCCATTCCAGCGATGGGTCGGTCACGGTATCTATAAGGGTGGCCGACTCGTCGGCACTCTGTTCTTCGCGATCACGACGACCGGAGGAGCTCGGCTCATCCGCCATGGTTACCTGCAGAGCACGGGAAACCAATCAGATGGAGCATGAAGTCCTATGCTCGACATAATCATGTCGTCCATACACTACACAAGTCCGTTTTCACAAGTGGAAGTCTCCCCGACTCTCCTGAACCCAGTGTTCTTCCTCAAACCAACTGCGCGGCCACTCTTCAAGCATGTCGACCCGAGGTATGAACATGGCGAGCCACACTATGAAGCCCACGGCCACGACCATAAACATACCGGGCACCGCCATGAATCAGGCGCCCCGGATCATGAAGACCCCGGGCAGCTCTGAAGTTTTTCACTTAAAACTATGAATGTGTCGGCCACGAGTATGCGTTTGCCGATCCTAGACATGAATATGTCGGGCAAAACACGAGTCTACCGGGCTAATCCCACACGAACGGTCCTAAAACATCTACAATTTCCAGGAATCATGCATTCTAAAACGGAAAAATAAAGAAAGTAGGTCACTTACTTGGATCAAAGTTTGGGATTTGGCTGAGAAATGAAGAATCTGAGACGGGAAGTCACAACTGGAGAAAGTGTTAAGAGCGGCAACGGAGAGAGCACGGAGAACGGAAAACGTATTATGGGGCCCAAGGACCCTATTTATAGTGATGACGTGGAATACCAAACGTCACCTCGTTCAACCACGGACTCCCTCTCCTCGACGCACTGCTCCCAACGCAATGATGGCCCTACCCCCCTAGGGTGGCGGCACAGCTCCCGAAAGATGCCTCGTGTGCTCGACCGACGCGCCCGGTACGGATCCTCCACGCATCCACCACCGAGGACGTCTCCGAGCACGACACGAGGAGGCCCCTCGAGGGCCCACACCTCCATCCCGGGCACGAGACCTCAGCGACGGAACAACTTGGTTTCAAGTCATGGCTCCTCGCAAAGGAACCACGACTTGGGGGGCTCCTGTTCTGGACTGGGCCCGACAGGCCCAAAAGCATTACTAAGGCCCAGTCCAAAGGGACTCACTAAGGACCACACTGGGCAAAGGGGGTCGCATCCATGCCCGACACCCTGATGTCCACCTCGACATCTCGATGTCCAGCCCTACGCGGTGAAGTCATGCTCGACACCCTGCCGTCCGGCTCTATGTCCTGACGTCCAGCTCGACACTAGCTGTTCAGCTCGAGGTCTTGGCGTCGAGCTCGGCACCGTGCTGCGCAGCTCGACATGGTCTCGAACTACCTGGCTAGAGCGGACTCAGTCCACCGTTGCCCCAACGATACTCCGGAAAGACCGCGTCTCCGTCCGCCCGCACTTCACGCAGCACATCCAGGAAGGGGACCACGTGCTGGTCCCCACTACCCACGTAGGACCTGGCAGTTCCTCCATTGGGCCAAATCCGCCCGGCCCAATGAAGAAACCTTGGCCCAGCGCTGGGGGCTATAAATACCCTCTGTTTCCAGAGGGTCAGATATTCATCATTCTAACCTCAACTCTATTATCTGCTCGTACTCCCACTGACTTTAGCATCGGAGTGCCTTGCAGGTACCCCCCTCCTCGTTCAAAAAGCCTTCAGCTCGGAGTAAGCCGTGACGGTCCAAACCTTCTGATCAGGTCAGATCAAATGCAATTTTTAAAAGTTATTGAATGTTCATCTCAAATAATAACTTGCATATATATGAGGTTTAAAAATGTTAAATAATTATTTTTATTTTATAAAAAAAAATAATTAGTGCTAAAAAATTTAAAATATATTTAAAATAATAATTTTTAAAAATTAAAAGAGATTAAAGAGAATCAATAATTAAAAATTAAAAAAGAGTGCTAAAAATAATGATAATTAAAAATAAGGTTTAAGAGAATAAACAAAAATTAGAGAAAAATAAATAATAAAAAAATAATGATAACAATAAAGTAAACAACTTGTTAATAATAAAAATTAAAACTTAAAAAGAATAGTTAGTAGTTAATTAAAAAATGGGTTAACGTTTTTAAATAAATGGGTTAAAGAAATAAAAATATTAAATATTTACAAAAAAATTAAATGTTAAAAATTTTAATTAATTATTTTTATTTTATAAAAAAAATAATTAGTGTTTAAAAATTTAAAATGTGTTAAAAATAATAATTTTTAAAAATTAAAAGAGATTAGAGAGAATCAACAATTAAAAATAAAAAAAAGAGTGCTAAAATAATGATAGTTAAAAATAAGGTTTAAAAGAAACAACAAAAACTAATGACAAATAAAGAATAAATAAATAAAATAATGATAACAAAGTAAACAAATGTTAATAGTAAAAATTAAACTTAAAAAAAATAGTTAGTGGGTAGTTAAAAAATGGGTTAATATTTTAAATAAATGGGTTAAAGAAATAAAAATATTAAATGTTTTAAAAAAATTAAATGAAATAATTATTAAATTAAAAAATAGATAGTGACGAAGTTTGTGGTTGGTTATTTATTAAAAAGTTAGTGAGAGAAAGCTTGATTAATAATTATAATTAATTAAAAATAATATTAATAATAATAATGATAAAATAAATATTGATAATTTTAATATATAATATTTTGATATTGGAATTTCTTCTAACTTAAGTCATAATTTTAGTCTTTGTAGATAAAACAAAATTAAAAAATTGTTTATATTAAATGTGAATGAAATTTTAGAGTCATATAAAATTAAAACAATCTCAAGATAAAAGCATTTTATTCAATACGATATAATTTTTGTCTCAAATACATAATTCATCAAAACTATTATTAATTTACTAAAACAATAATTGAATAAATATAAAAGTTAGTGGGAAAAAAATTAAGAGTTAGTAAAAATTTAATTTTATCTCTAAAAGTTATCTAAGAGACTTAACAATTTTAATATATTAAGATTTAATTAATTTTAATGAATAATTATACATTTTTATTAATATTAATTTTTAATAAATAACTAATAATTACTAAAACAATAATTGAATAAATATAAAAGTTAGTGGGAAAAAAATTAAGAGTTAGTGAAATTAATAAAATAAAATAAAATAAAAATATACAATTAAAATTAATAAAACAATTTTAATTTTAACTCTAAAAATTTCTTAAAAACTTAATAACAGGTTTAATTCTCATAAGCAAGTGGGAGTTAAAAGATTAGTGAAGATATTTATTCTTTATTTATTTATTATTTGATTTTTTATATAGAAATGTGAAAATTGGTTTGAAGTTTTTAAAGTGGTGGTAACTATAACCCACTACAAATGTGGATATAGGTAAAATATTTGTCTATTATTTATATTTATTTATTTATTTTGTATTTAATTATAATAATAATAATAATAATAATAATAATAATAATAATAATAATAATAATAATAATAATTATTATTATTATTATTATTATTATTATTATTATTTTATTTATTGTTTATTCTGTCAAATGGAAACGTCATAATTGGTTTCAAGTTTTTAAAGAGGAAGTAACTATAACCCATGAACATAGATAAAATATTTGTTTATTATTTTTATTTATTTATTTATTTTATAATTGTCATTTTTAATTAATTTGTTTTAATTTTATTTATTTTAAAAATTTTGCATTTTGGTGACATATTTTGGTGGAAGAAATTGTAGGATTATAACTTAATATGATAATTGTCATTTTTAATTAATTTGTTTTAGTTTTATTTTTTATAAATATTTTGTATTTTGGTGGAAAATTTTTGTGGAAGAAATGATAGAATTATAATTTAGTGTGATTAATAAAATAAATTTTTAAATTATAAAAATGAATTGTTTTAGTTAATAATAAATAAAATAAATAATAAAAATAAAATAAATTGTGAAAATGACTCGTGACAAAAAATACTTAAATTTTGAGATGTTGAAATGATAGTTTTTCAAATCTATAATTTAAAAAAATAAATAAATAAATAAATAAATTTGACATATAAAACAAATAATAAATATTAATAAAATAAATTGTGAAGATGACTTATGAAAAAAATATTTAAATTTTAGAATGTGAAAATAATAGTTTTTCAAATCTATAATTTTAAGATTCTTAAATTACGAGAATGATTGATTTTAATTAATAATAAATAAATAAATAAATATTAATAATTATTAAATTAATCTTAGTTTTGGTTTTAAATTTTTTTTTAAAAGACTTAACAATTTTAATTAATAAGATATATTAAATTTAATTTTTTTTTATAAAAAAAAGCAATTTGATTTATTTTTTGAACCGGAAAATTTTATAAAATTGATTTTAATTTTTTGGTCCAAATAATTTTGACGGTTCAATTTTATTTTTTTAATTTTATTTCGACTTTGATCAACTAACAGTTTCAAAAAGTTAATCATACCAGATTCAACTTCAATCTAATTAATTAAACCGACTAATTCAATTTGATTTTTAAAACATTGTTTAAAAGAGCAAATTCTACTTTACAAATTATCTAATTTGTACATGAGAATGCAAATAAATGGAGGAGTAATTTGTAAATTGCAATTCACGTTCCATGTTTGCAGGGTACTTATGTATGAACAAACAAACAAACCCTGTGTGGTATATATACGATAACTCTTTCCATTTTCTTTCTTCTATCACCAAATCCCAAAAATCAGCACCTGCGCCCGTTCTTTCCTCTGATCCTTCAACACCGTTTTCGATTTTCCTCTTCACTCCCAAGGTTTCTCCAATTGCTTTCTTCTACAATTCACTATTCCTTTTCATTCTTAACCCCAATTGCTCTAACTTTTCATTTTTACACTTTAATCATCATTTTCATTGCTCAATTTTGTTCCTGGCTATAAAATTCTCAAAATCGTTTCTCCAAATGTGCTTCATTCTTGTATTTGTATATGTTCTTGTAGATGGTTTGAGTTTTTTTGGTTATCTTCGTGTTATGTTTATTAAATTATTATTATGATATGAAATCTAAGTATTTCTTGTACATAGTAATTGTAGTTGAAGGATTTTATCTCTAATTTTTGTGTGGTTTTCAGAATAAGGTGTTTGTGCTTGGCGGATTCAACTCACTTTCCACAGCTCCTTGTTGTAAATTTGCGATTTGGACTATGGCACTTTATGGAACTTCCTTATCCTTTAATGTGAGTTTCCCATTGTTTTTAACCTTAAAAGTTCATTTATTTTCTTTCTTATTAATCTTTTAGTGGAGTTTAGAAGTCTCTTTTATAGGTTAATGCAAGATAACCACTTTAGAGCTATCTAGCACTGACACCTCTGAACAAAGGTGTGTCCGGTGCTCGACACGTATCTGTGTCCAACATCCACACGACACCGACACACGTGATTATGTTTAATTTACACTTTTTCAAATTATTACTAGCGTCGATGTGATTATGATCAATTTATTCACTTTTTCAAATTATTACTGGCGACGTGTCGGTGTGGATGTCGTGTCCGGTGTTCGTGCTTCATAGTTTAAGAGCATTATGTTGATCAACAATCTATTGAATTAAGAATTCCAGGATTTAACATAGATATGATTCAACTGCCTGAAACAGAAATTTCGTGTTGTGTTTACTTAGAGGCTAGAATTTTGTATTTTGGATTGAAATTTCGTATTTTGGATTGGAATTTCGTATTTTGTTTACTTAGAGGCTAGAATTTCGTATTTTGGACTAGAATATCGTATTTTGAATTGGAATATCGTATTTTGTTTACTTAGATGCTAGAATTTCGTATTTTGGATTGGAATTTCATATTTTGAATTGGAATATATGTTTACTTAGAGGCTAGAATTTTGTATTTTGGATTGGAATTTCGTGTTTTGAATTGGAATTTCATTTTTTGTTTACTTAGAGGCTAGAATTTCGACCGTGTTGTTGAAAACATGGCGACTTTTTAAAAATTTATGCACTTCATGAATGGCTTAGGAATAAATATGAAATTATGTTTTCCCTATTAGTGATAATGCCCGTATGGTGCGTGGTGATTAATTTTGAGTTTTTTCATGAAGGGACTGTCTCCTGTCAAAGAGTTTAATTTCTTGCCGGGTTTGTTCATCAATAGCTTTCAGAAGCGACATGATGCTTGTCCTTCACCATTCTTTAATCAAAATAGGTTAGTTTTTGGCAAAAGTTTTGAAAGAGGAAACCAACCGAGTGTCTTGCCTAATCAATTCCTCAAGTTACAAATGAGAAGATTGAGTAAGTGTCCTTTGCTTGAACCCTTTTGATTCATATAGCGACTACTTTTTGAATAATGTTTTGATTCAATGGCCATTTCTTTCTACTGTCTTGCTTTTGCTGGAAACCAATCACAATCCACATTTCATATGATTTAACGATTATGATTGATTGACATTGTACACAATCTTGTTCAATTATATTCGATCAGGGACACAACCGGGAGTAAAAAGTGAAGACTCCGAAAGCGTGTTGAGTAGTGAGAACATAGCATTAGATGAACACACTTTAGTGGAGGAGCTGCAGAAGGCAATTGCTGAGGAGAATTATACAAGAGCAGCAGAAATAAGGGATACTCTAAAAAGCCTTCAAAAAGATAGCAAAATCGAAGTATTGGGATTAAACAGCAAGTTCTATAATGCATTCAGGGATGGTGACCTTGCAGGCATGCAAGCCATGTGGGCGAAAAGGGACGAAGTGTGCTGTGTACATCCTGGTTTGAAAGGAATATCCGGATACGATGATGTTATTGAGAGCTGGAACTATGTATGGGCTAACTATGAATTTCCACTGGGAATTAAACTAGAAGACATTAAAGCTCATGCTAGAGGTGATATGGGATATGTCACTTGCATGGAGTTTGTAAAGTCGAAAGGAGGAAGATGGGGAGGACAATTTATAACGAATGTGTTCGAGAGGATCGATGGTGAGTGGTTTATTTGTAACCATCATGCTTCACCAGTGGACATATGAATTTGATGCATAGCTATGTTGTATAGAAATCTTTGTTGGCCTCCAAAGTTTCTCTTTTTGTTATGTTACAACTTGATTACACAAATTATCTTAGAAGCTTTGACATATATGGATTAATGGATTCAATGCTTAAGATTTATTAGGTGCAAAAATAACTAGTTGTCCTACCAATTTTCAGTAATCTCATTGACTAGTTATGTTTTGTTACTATGAGCATGTGAAAGCATTTACGTTTTGTTGGATTTAACATGAACCAAATAAAGCTATTAATGTTCATCTTTGGTGTGCAAATGCATTGTAGACTAGTATTTCTAATGAACTGTTATTTTGGTTTGAAAGTATCTGAGGAGTTGTCACTCTAATTGTACTAAATCTAGTAGTATTTTTGTTTGTAATTTGAAGAAACAAACTAGTTAACGAAAGACACAACTGAAAATCCAATTACCTAATAAAATACAATACTTTTGAGAACTAGGTAGCACTTCATGAAATCAACAACCAAAAGTTGTCATCATATCGTCGATGGCAAATATAATCTCTCATTTAAGCGATAGTGCATGTTTTATCATCATCTAGATAAATAAATTTAAAATTATATGATTTGATTGTAGTGAATTAACTATTCTTGATGTGACATCAAGTGGTAAGAACAATTAAACTCAAGAATTCATGCATATGTGTATTTGTTGGATAAAGCATATAGTATACCTGCTTCATTGTCATAATCATCGGTTTGAATCACATTTGTAGAACTGGATGAGTCTTATTTTCTGTTTGGACACTCCTTCTTCCATTGCCCTATATGTATACAACAACTATAACACTCATCTATTTTTCCGTTCTTAGATTTAGACCTCTTCTTTATAGAATCTCCATTACCTTTGTTCCGCCTATAATCTTAACCTGTTTTCACATTTAAATTGTCGTTTTGAGTTTCTTCCTCTACACTTGTCTCCTTTGAAAATGAGACAAAAGTGTAGTAATAATCACATCAAGATTGATAGTGTCTTTTTCGTAGATAAGAGTAGCCATCAAGTGCTCATAAGAATTTGGTAAGGAGCATACTAAGATAATTGCCTTATCTTCCTCTTCAATTTTCACCTCAATCCTCATCAGATCAATAATTATAGTGTTGAAGACATTGGCATGTTGTTGTAAATCAAATCATTTCCGCATCTTCAGACTGTATAGTTGTTGCTTCGCAAACAATTTGTTCATCAACGTCTTTGACATATAGTGATTCTCCAATTTGTCTCAAACCTCCTTCAGCGTCGTCAGATCCATGATATGATACTTTACCTCATATAAAACACATAGGAGAATCAATCCCGCGACCTTCTCCTTCATCTCCACCCAATTAACATCCTCCATGTCATTCAATTTCGTCTCACACATCACCTTCTCTAAACTTTGTTGAGTCAATAGACTCATAATCTTCCTTTGTCATAATCCAAAATTCTCTATCTTGTCGAACCTTATTACTTCGAATTTCGCACCAAGGTTAATCACCGTCTTATTCTAATTGTTAAAACAATAACAATATAAAAGATTAAAGGGAAAAGAAAAGAAAAGAAAACGAACTTGATTGATCTTTGATAACAAAATTTAGCTAATGGTATTTACCTCTGCAACTATAGAGTATCCATAGTTTCTTATATTTATGTCAAATGAATTAGGGTTAAAGTGGCTAAGTTTACAATAATACCTCTAAATTTACAATAATACCTCAATGAAGCTCCCACACCTTAGTTACCTATCCTTAGTAATAATCTCCACAATCATAATCATACTCAACGGTATTCGTAATAATCTCTATAATATAAGCTATAATCAATCATACTCTTAATAATCTTTCTAATATGAGTCATTTATCATTTATGTACATATGTGGTGTGCAGATACAATAGAGACCAGGATTAATGTGTATAATATAAGCTATAATCAACCATACTCTTAATAATCTTTCTAATATGAGTCATTTATCATTTATGTACGTATGTGGTGTGCAGATACAATAGAGACCAGTATTAATATGTATATGTGGTCTGCAAATACAATGGAGACTACTATTTATAATGAACAATTATTTTGGGGCAAATACTTAGGTATCTATGATAAGTATTTGTGTATCGAAATTTTAAGTGCAAATTAATTAAAAAATTTAGTTTATTTTAAAATTAAATAATTTAAAAAGTGATATGACAATGAATAACCTTGTCTGATTGGATACAGATACAAACTCTTAGTGTTTTTGTTTGTATTTTGAAGAAACAAATAGTTAGCACTTCACAATTTCAACAACAAAAAATAGTGTTCAGAAAAATGCATAGATTGATGCAGTCAATTGATCTCAATCATTGAAGATAAAAATTTAATCGTTCATATTTTGTCTTTCACAATATCTACTTTAGAATATATCTTAGAATATGAGCTATGTAGTTCTTAAATATGCGATTTAATACACAACTAAATACGTGATTAGAAACAAAAACTAGTGTTTAACTAATTGTTTGAGATCAAACAGTCAATTTTGAGAGAACATTTTCAGCGGCAAATATTGCAATCATGTTAAAACATTTCTGATTTTTCTTTGTTCAAGTAATGGAGAGGATGACTCTGCTGTTTTTATTTATTGACACTTTTCTGCAATACCAAGGTATTCTGATTGAATAGTTAGTTATTATACCAGACATTGTAAATGAAGGTGAAATAGAAGAAAGTTGTGCCACGAAAGTTTTTATACTTAGTTTTTTCCACATTCTTTTTACTGAGAAAAGGAAAGTGAAACTGACAATAGCATTTTTTTTCCTGCCAATGTATAAAGGTAAGTGGTAAAAGAAAAGCGTAACGATCCAATTGCAAGAACAACATATATAATGTTTTTGCAATGCTATTAACTAGCTAGCTATTCCTCAACTACTTGAAGATCTTAACATCTAACTATGGAAAAAAAAATCTCTTCAAACCAGTGTCGTCAATTGTAGATCGCGTAAAAAAACGGTTTGTTTAAGTTCCGCTACGCAGCAGTGCTATAGCCCGCTATTTGACTACATTTTATACTAAATAGCGTATCGTGGAACAGTAGCTATTTGTTCAAATTCCACTATACTATAGCGCTATAGTACCACTATTTAACGACACGAGTTTAAACTCTGCCAACAGGGGAAAGAGGTGGAATTGGAGTATACTTCATAGGTGTTTTCTCTTGATGTCTGCTACTGTTATTATTGGAACTCGATTCCTTCAGGATCTCTTCTCTCATGCTACCGATTTCCAAGGATCCCGGTTGTTTCCGGCTGCCTAATAAAACAACAGAAATGAAGAATGCCTGTAAGTAACTGATTGTTGAACTGAATTCAATTGAGTAGAATCCATTCTTCAATGGCACCAAAGTGAAAATGGGCGTTTCTTGCTCAGCTCCTTCCTGAAAGCAGTGATAACCATGTGTAAAAGAGGGTATCCACTGACCACAATATCTACAGATGTATATAAGCATATCATCAAGTATAGAATGTAAAAGCTATATTTACCTGAGCAAAGAGCTGGAAACGATCCTGGTAAGGTTTATACCTTCTCTGGATGTTTGAACTCGGTTTCTGCTCATGGAGCACAAGGAGTTTGCAACCAATGTCCCAACCTCCACAATCACACGATCCCCCGGTTTTCCATCGATGGATCAGCGATGAAGGTTCCCCTTTGTTTGGTGAACCATGTACACCACCTGGAAGTATAACTGTAGAGCTAACAGAGATGTCGGTTTCGACTGACCTGCACAAGCATCTTCCATCTGCCAAGCACTTTAAGCATCCCTTCTCATGCAAATTATAATCACTATGAATTCGTTTGTTGCTCAATTTTTCACACAAGGTCTCAATAACAACAGCAGCAAGCTCCATGCTTGGTATGAACTTTGGGGGTCCTTGATCCGTCTGATTGACATCAACACCCAATAGGACATATTCTTTAACCATGCACTGTCTCTTGGAGTTCTGATTGATTGCTTCAGTGATTTTGGAGGTAGAAGATTTCATCTGAGCAACGAGATTGTATGCATAGCCACAACTTTTTTCTTTATTTCCATGACTCATCCATCCACCACTCTTTTTCTTAATTTCATTCACCAAGTAGAATGTAAAACAGCAGCCTAAATCATTCTTCTCCTGCGATGCTAAACTATTCTTTGTAGCAGCATAAATCTTTCTTTCGTCATTGAGCACAAACTTAAACAAAGGCACTCCATTTGTTATTGTAAGCTGCAAGAGACCTTGGATTGATGATACCTTGCTCTTTTCATCCTGAAGCGGTTTTTTAAGACCAATACTCCTGAAACTGACTGAATTCATTCTTCCCTTTTGTTTCTGACTGCTTTCACCTGAATGCTGTGCATCTGACGCCGTCTTATGCTTCAATATAGGGTCTAATAACCTCCTAAGAGGACTTGATCTTGTTCTGTTTTGACTATTTGCCTTTTCTTTGCTTGAATTATCCCAACGAATAGAAGATTCAGGAGTCACTGGACCAGACTTTGAACAAACATACTTAGAACCAAATTGTGAAACCGCAGGGCCTTCCTTGAAACTGAAACTTCTGCCGATTCGACTTAAGCTGAAGCTAAACCGACGGTTGTGCGATGATGTATTCATACCCTTCTGAGAAGTCAGCTCAGCAGTTTCTTGGTCTAATGATTCAATCAGATTACTGAAAGCAGATTGAATGCTCAGCCTATTTTCCAACACCTCCTTTTCAAAGCAAGCAGCTTCAGATTGCATACCAGGCATCTCATTTATTTTGGAAGCAGACTTTTCTGAAACTGCAGAAGAATGATTCATCCCGAGATAAGTAGTACTAACGCTGTGTTGCATTGGTCCAGAAAAAGATGTATGCTCAACCACTGAACGGCGTCCACTTGAAAGTCGGATTTCTGGACCTACATTGCCAATGTAATCCTCCTCAAGAACGGAAACATATGATAAACTACTTCGGCTTGATTCTGGACAATTTTCATCTGATGATGTTCTGAATTCAGAAAGCCGGAAATCATCTGAAGAACTTGAGTCGGAAGTTTCATGTGGATAGAGCAGCACAATATTACTTGGCTTGCTATGGTCATTTTTAAAACTATTATCGGAACCTGACTCCAGCAACTGATTCCCCTTTAGAATGGATTCATTGTTGCTAGAACTCAGTTTTTTAGAACTGAATGATGCCTCTTTGCCTTTTGATTTTACTGATGGCTGTATCATATCACAGCTGGACTTGCGATTTCTCTCTTTTTTCTTGTGGTAGTACTCATCATCCTTGTCATTACCATTTACATTTTCATAAGGAATAGAAGAGGAAACCCTGTGGTGCCTTGATTTCGATGCAGAGTTTCCATTATCCTTATCCTTACCATTTACATTTTCATAAGGAATAGAAGATGAGACCCCGTGGTGCCTTGATTTCGACGCAGAGTATCCAGCATCTAAAGTTATTTTACTACTGCCATTCCTCCTCTGCTCATTTCCTATGCTCTTGGTTCCACTTTTAGAAAATTCAAATCGTTCGATATCCTCTAAGGGAAGTTTGCTACTTTGATGAAGTGATTCCTTGTTGGTCCGTCTGACATCTCGCAAACTTTTTGTGTCGTCAAGTTTTTCCCTTCCACCAGCACTGAGGGACGATTTAGTGACTATTCTTGATGACGATTCACCTCTATTGACAGATGTGAAATGATTAGTTAGTTCTTCTGGTATATGTTTGTGCTTCCACTTCTCGAGTCGAGACCAATCTAGAACACCAACATTGAATGCTTTCTCTTGAACATTTTCCAATCTATCATTATGCAGGAGATAACCTGGCAAATTAGACATGTGTTTTACAAGCTCATCGCGTTCGTTTCCACTTCTCTTTGCAGTTTCCCGGTTCCGAATGTTTCCTTCCACATCCTGCTTTGCTTTCTGTTTGAGATCACTGCATTGTGGACCAACACCACTCTTTGACCTCAACTTATCTGCACCCTTTGGGTTCGGACTTCGATCTAATTGTGGCAATGCAGAACTTTCTTTAGCTATCTTCGAACTGCTATGCCGTTTTGAGCCGAGCTTTTTGAATTCAAACCCAAATACCATATCCTCAGAAGGTATCATGAATTCATTACTTGGCTGTAAATTGATTGGCATGACACAACAAACCCTCAAACTTCACAGTTCACTCACAAGCAATTATCTGTCATAAAATATTCACAATTTCATCAATTCCAAACAACAAATAAATTCAATACAAACTCAAAAAGAATTTGTACAACATTGTAAAATGCTACAACTCAAAAGAACACTCCATTTTCTAGTATCAAAATTCAACAAAAACTCAAAAAAAAAAAAAGGGGGTTTGTGAATATCTAGGTTCAACCTATCACATAGTCAACAATCAATCAAACAATTAATGAAGGAAAAAGCTGGTAACAATAAAAGCAATACTCATTTTTCTATTGCACCAAACAAAAACAGAAACATTGATGCTGAAAACATTGAAACATGATTTTGACATTTGGCTATAAAGAATATGGCAGAAAGCCACGTGAAAGAGAAAATAATTCAATGCATTGCACAAAAAGGAAATACACATAAACCTTAACAAAACCTTACAATTTCCAATTCAACTAACATTTTATATATTCAATGAATGAAGTGATGATGTATACCTAAACCTCATTTCCAAATCTGATTAAAATCAAATCACTTAACAAATAACAAAGAATATAATTTTTTTCTATGCTATGAGGTCCGCGTCCACAAAAATGACCGCGACAAAACGGTATTGCCAAATGCTGATACTGATACATTCACCATTTTGATGTTAAAGGATTAATTCACACTGCGACGACGACAATCAGTGTCGTACCACCTCTACCAACTGAAATCGCAAAAACAAACATTACCTAAACCTCATTTTGAAATCTGATTAAATCAATTCCACTAACAATAATCAATCCAAAACAAAACCCTATAAATCAATTACTAGTACAATAAACAACTAGTACACATAAAATTAAATACTCAAAACCCTATGATATGTACCAGTTAATTAATAACGAAAACGATGGATTTCTAAATTCTAATACTCTATACACAGCTCAAAAATCGAAATAAACTGATTTAATAAAAAAAGGTGAAAATCCACGATAAGGCCTTGTTTGGCTTCGGGGAAAAAGCAGTTATAATTATAACAAGAACAAAAACAGAAACTCTTCATACAAAACAATAACAAACAAAACTCACATTTCAGATTCAAGAACAAAAGTGATTATATAATTAAGAACTAATTAACAACTAAATTAACAACTAAATTAAGAAAATGCGGCATTAAAATCATAAAATACAGAGAAATTCTTAGGAATCAAGAACGTGTGAGAGATTACCTGAAAAGAGAAGAAGAAAAAACGAAAACGATTTTGAATGATGAAGAGAAAGATACGAAACGTAATTGAGAAAAGAAAAGAAAACGCACGTAGTTTAAAAGCGAAGTAAAGAATTGCAATGAAGGCACTGTTTGGTTGGAGTAATCTAATCTAATAATCTTCCATAATCATTTTCATTCTTTCTTCTTCCTTCATTTACGTATATATATTTTTAATTAGTTTTTAACTTTTGAATTTAATTTTTGTATTTATGTGCCGCGTGTTTTTTAAGGGTGAAAACATTTAACAACCGTAAAATAGTTTTGGCAGACACCCATATCAATACTGTTATTAACATTTTTATATTAAAAAATAAATAAATTTTAATTAATTTACATTACGATAATTTTTAATGAGTATCGCAATATATACCGATTAAAATTGTAAAAAGTTTTAGCTATTGTTGTCGCGATAATAATTCCTATTTATGGATTAGTGACAGACGGTAATGATATCGATATTTGTCAAAACTGTTTTATCGCATCTGCATATATATTTTAAACCCTATGCGGAAAAGAAAAAGGAAAAAGAGAAAAAAATTGTGCTTACGTTGGTATAGGGAAAGGGGAGAGAGAGAAAGAGAAAGTGAGAGGCAAACAGGGCGTTATGGTGGGTGAGTGAGTGAAGTGGGAGTGTGTGGAGAGCGTTTCGCTTTCAGTTGAAACGGTGGACAAAAAGAAGGGAGAGTGGGGCCACTATTGTGGACTTGTTTTGGTATTGCGAATCCCGATGGATGTGGTGTGGGGCCGGGTTACGTATTGCCATTTCAGAATGATGCTGAGGGCATTTAGTACTTTTGCAGATTTTTTTTTTGGTTTATTTGTATTTATTTGTATTTATCGTAATTATTTGTATAATTTTCTAAAGCACAGGTTGTTGAAAACAACGTAACACCGTTAGTTTCTATCTAACAAAACCAAACAAAATTTCCATCCTAAAATAATAAACCCAAAAAAAATGGACAAATTTTTAATTTTTCTAATATAGAAGTGTGCATGATGCATATAGATCTTTCAAAGAATTTGGAGGTATTGTGCGTTATTTATTTTTCCAAACCAAGCATTGGGAAAATAAAGTGAAAAAACAAAATGTGGCTTTAAATGTTTTCAGATTTATTCTAAAAATTATATTTTTGGATTATTTTAGAAAAAAATACGGTGAATCATATTTAAAACGTGTTTTGATAAAAAATTATCTAAAAATGTATTTTCAGAATTTAAAGAATATTTTCAAAATTTTATAGAATACATTTCCACTCTATAGAATGCTTTAAAAAATCTTCTAGAAAGAGTCGCAATAGATAATTCTTTTATAAGAATTTAGTCTTTTTTTTGTTACGTATCTCTTTTATAATTTTTATTTTTATTTTTCACGATCCATGACAAGTGCTATAAATGTCATTTAAATAGTATAATAAACATTCATAGTTATTTAATCGATAATTATAATTACATTTAGTTTTAATGATAAATGTTAATAAATATTTGTCTTTGTCATTAGGCGGCGGTTTAAAGAGTGAGATGCTTAAGTGAGAACTTACCTAAGTATTTTGAATATGTTATTCGATCAATCAATTTTGATCATTGCATTTTTTTATGATGTACATAGTTCCTCAAATATAATGTTCAGAGAGGGTGAGAAGTTTAAGAGAGAACTTGTAGCACCCAAAAAATCTATCTATGTATGAAATATTCATGTTTTTATTTAATTATTTAGTATGTGGTATACTTTTAATTAAATTAATTATGATTTAGTGTGTGTATGTGGTAAATAGTGGAGTGTAGTGAGACTACTCGTGAATTGGTAGAATAATTAGAATTACTAGTTATTTTTAATTAATTAAATAAATAGTGAAATTAGTGATATTGTATTAGAAATTATTTATTTAATTGATTTTGTGATTTATTCAGTTATTTAAATAAATTTTATATGTAATTGATGATTTGATATGTTTACGTGATATTTGGGAGTTAGTAGAAATAGAGTTATTTAATTAATTGAATAGATAACTAAAATAATGAGAATTATTCTTAAATTAAATATGAAATAGATAAAATAGTAAGAGTTGGGGGTAGAAGTTGGAAATAATTGAATTTAATAATTATTTTTAATTAATAAAATAATAAGAGTTGGTAGAATTATTAGAGATTTATGAAAAGAGGATAGAAAAAGAAGAGAATTAGTTTTTTTGAATAAAAAAGGAGTTTTGGAAATCTGAAAATTATCTGTACGCATTTTGGAGTTTTGAGATAAAAATGTAAATGAGACAAAAGGGCTTAGGAGAATGAAGAATCTCCATTGTTAGATATTGGAAGTGTTTTTGCTGAAAATCTAAGGCAAGGGGATTTATTCTAAATATGGTGTTCATATCATGTTTTGGCAGGGGAAATCCTTAATCTTATTAGTTTTTTGTCTTTTCTTTCCCCATGGTTGAATGCTCGAGGAACTCATGAAATTTCTATGATAATATGAATTATGTGATATAATTGTGGTGAATTCTGTGTACTGATTTTATCATGAAATTATATGTTCTTGTGGATGCATTTTGGTATAAGTTTGCGTTTATGAGAGTAATATGAATATGATGATTAAAATGTCAAAAGTGATGAATAATTGATGTTAGTCCAAATAATTTATGTTGGTTGTTGTATAATTGTTATATAACTATTGTATGTTGAATTTTGAACGTATGTGTTTTTAGGGAATCGAAACCAGAGGTCCAGAGGTCCTCAAATGGTGGAAATACGCAAAAACTAATTTTGGACCCATGAATTCTGAGACTTAGCGTGGCAAAGGGAAAAAAACTCAATTTTGGGTGACGTCCGCCAGTCCTCATGACTTTCACTGTGTCTAACAAAAAATATCATAACTTTAATTTTGTAACTCCGTTTGAGACGCAGTTCGAAGAGTTGGAAAACTAATGCATATTTTGGTGACTTTAATTAATTAAATGCATGATTAAAGAGTGTTGTTGAATGTTCATAATTTATTTAAAATTTATTTACTTGTTATAATTAAATCGATTATGATATTTAGTGATGTTATGTGGTTAACAAAAGATTTTGTTTTGTATACACAATTATAGTAGTTTATATGGTGTTGGATTATTATCAAGGTTGGATAACAATTTAATTATTTGATTGTTATTATTGTTATGAGTGTTAAATAATAGTTCATATGAGATTGTTATTGAGTTGTCAATGCATGATTGTTTATGGTCAGAAGGGGACCTTAAACATTATTGTTGTTGTTGCGTTGAGTTGTATGCCATGTATTCATTATATCGTTGTTGTTGAAAGAGGCAAGTTGCAAGTCTATAAGAGTGGACTAGTGATTTTTCCCTAACCTAGAAGGGTGGGTTCAGGGTCTAGAAGGGTGGACCTGGTTTGTATGAAGAACCATCATTGAATTGGTACCACATGCAAGAGTTTAATTGTTGTCTGCATTGCATTTACGTAAAGGTATTTATGATTGAGTTTTTGAGTTGTGAAATTGAGTTGTTGTGGTTGATGTGAATGAATTGTGTTGAATTAGTGTAAATTAATTGTGTAGAAGTTTATTGGTTATTTTTGGCTATCCTTGCATACTTTTGCACCATTATATATTTTGAGCGTATTTATCACCCCTTTGTTGATTGTGGTGTTCTATGCTCCTCCTTAGGGTACAGGCGAGCAGGTAAATGAGTAGATGCTTAGAAGTTGAAGGGCGGCGTTGAGGCTATTC